TGCACACGCTACTTCACATAAGCTCAACTTCCACTTCTACCTGTAAGTTTACAATTCACAAATTTCTCTAGCACTTCAGATGTTTGACAGGCACCACAAACATCAATATATCCCAAACTAAATTGATTATATAGCCCAGCCTAGCTCCCATATTCATTTCCTCTTATAATTCCATCTGAGTGAACGACATCACTGCTCATGCAAACATCCAAGGAAAAACTTGGGAGTCATCTCCCATATTCTTGCCCTCCATAGCCAGTTGATTACCAATCCTATTGGTTCTGCCTCCTATGACCCCTCTTCTACTCTACTCCACCCCTACATCATTTCTCAATTAGATTACTCAACAATGTCCTCATTCAGTTTTGTCTTTTGTTTCACCCCCTTCCAATTCCTGTAAACAATAAATCTGTTCATATTATCTCATAAATGGTTGGTGAACCACTGAAAGAACAGGCATAGAAAGCACTTCATGAGATAACCCCTATCTTCTTTTTCTGGTTTATTACTTAACCTTCTTTCCTCCATTTACTTTATTTAGCAACTATTCACTAATGTGTCATATTGTCTCACTCTGTCTTTGCAAGATGTTCTCTCAGCCTAGAATAGCATCTTGTTGTTCTCCAGGCAAACCTGATTCATCTTTCAAGAGCCAGTTCAAGTGCTCCTCTGTAAATTTTTCTCTAATACCGCACCTGAGACAGATGTGATCATCCCTTGCTTTACACATTCTCTACACTTGAGTTACCTTTATTTTAGCACTTCTAATACAGCCCTGTAACTATTTTTCACATTTTCCTCTCCTATGAGACAGTGAAATCTCTCTGAAAAAGACAACTGTTTCTTTTCCTCTTTGTAATTCCCAGGCTAGCACAGTGCTTGACATTTAATAGGATTTTTTTTAAGCATGCTGAATACTGTATGAATATGTCAACAATCCTATTTTTTTAAATCATATAATATAAGCCTAAAATTCATGATGGATTTATACTCTTCCTTTTCTGCTGTAATGACATACTGGCTTAATAACCAAGAAAGAGGCCAATTAACTAGCCCTAATTTCACTGCCCTCAAGACAGTGACCTCTCAACTCTAACTACTAAAGTAGTGCTTGACTTACTTGCTCCCACTATCTTCTTCCCCATGTTGGTTGCCGTGACAACTCATCTGGGACAATGAACTCTATTTTCTGCAATACCTAATCAAATTCTTTACAGCCAGGACAAGTCTAAGGTATTACAATGTACTTAATAACAAGAGAAACATATCATTACTAAAACAGAAAACACCACTGAAAGACTGATTTGCCATTGAAAAAAACCAAAGATTTAAATATAAGAACTCTCAGCTGGAACAAAAAAGTAAGATTTAGCAATCTCTTCTATCTGTATCAATATTAAAGTAAGACTATTATACCAAAAAAATCTATAAAATAAAAACGTAACTCCAACTTCATTGTAAAATTAAGAGTTTTACACGTATGGCTACGAATACCATACACACAAACAAAACACCGCTATGCCGATTTTTATGACTTGGGGAGTATCCACTTAAGGAAATTAACACAAAGTTGTTACGTATGTTTTTGTTATATATGTTT